GCTTGCAGGAGATAATTTAGAAGACTGCTGAACCTTGCCAAGTCAGGGTAAGACAGCCTTCCTACCTCACTGCTTCTGTGTTGGTCAGTCTGATACTCTAGACCTTACCCAAAGCTGGTTGCCCTTATGCTGCTGTGAGATATTGGGTGACTGTCCAGGCAGCCTGCTGTTTCTGTCTTTGCTGCACCTTTGGAAGTCGTTCACTTACACTTCCTCCCTACCCTATCCTTCTCAGGTCTTTGATGAGGCTGAAGATTAGACTGTCACAATTATTGTTCTCTCTCCCTACATAGGTACAAGACTAAACTTTCCAGCTTAGGACAGCTCTATAGTAATCTCTGTTATGTCTTCACCCTAGGACTTGCCATTTGCTCTTGTTGTTTACTGGCTTTAGATCTTGAGGGAGTGTGTTCATACTTCTCCTTTTCCTAGTGCATACTTGAATTTTGCCATCTTTGTATATCGTTTTGTATAAAGTGTATACCTTTTCTTTAAACTAAAAGGGGTTTGTAGGGAGGGATCTTACTAGGCACCTGTGGCATTGACCACAATGGGCATGGTCACAGGTATGTACATGGGGTGGGATATAGACCCGAGGAGAGGCTGGCCATGTGCTCTTGGGGTTCCGGTTGTGTCCCAGAGAGAGCTGATACTCCATGCTCAGAGCACTGACCCTGGGATATCAGTTTCTCATGTAAGTGATTTTCTCTTCAGTAAAATTAACTTACTAATAAAATTAACTTACTTCATCCCAGTCCTGTGTACTATAATTTGTACTGCAACATTTACATACTGCCAGGGCTTTCATTTGTTCCCAAATGTCAACTAACGGCTAACACGCAGAGGCAGGTGCTGGCACACAGGCACACCAGCAACTTGGCTTTCTCCTGCTGTGGACACAGGCCAGGGCTGGACTTCAGCAGTGGATGGAATACTTGTCAATGGGAATGTCAGAAAGGTCAGAAACATGTGGGTTCAAGTTCTGGTTTTCCAAGTGCCTAGGGGTAGGTGACATTGATTACCATTACCAAAATTACCTCACTTGGCAATGTGAGTGAACAGTCACTGTATTCACTCACTTTTTTTTAGAACATTAAGTATGGGAATGAACTACATTCATCAAGTGAGTGCTTACCTGAATGCTAATTTCCCAGCATTTGAGCACAGTTATTTGTGTTGATGATGAGGTTACACAAATAGCATCAGACTGTGTCATGGGGAGATGACGGTTGCTGTCTTCAGCTCAGATTCCTGTGTCGGGAGCAACAGTTTCCTTGGTCTGACTTTGCATGTCTTCTCACCATCAGCAGAGGGACAGTCATGTTGAACAAAATCAGAGGTCATGGCCTCATCACCACAGGTCTGTCTTGAGCCCCTGGACTCTTTGCAGAAGCCATCAGAGTGTGTGGGCCTGGTTCAGGACACTTGTCATGTGAGCTTGTCATGACGTCTTCTGAGTGTGCAGTCAAATGCCACCAGCAGTGCATGGCACCAGTCTCTTCTCTGTGTCCCAGGAAAGGAGCCCTGGGAAGATACTCATTTCCTTTGCTGATCTTTTTTCTGTTCAGCCACATAGCTTTACCTTCTCTTATGCGCTCTGGCCCACCCGATCCTCATCAGGACCCTGCAGTGAGGGAAGCGATGCTTGGGGCTGATGAATGAGCCCCACTCTGTGGAAGCACCTTGTGGCCGAGAAAGCTCCAGAAGTTTGACTGTAGGTTACCTTGAGTAGTCCAAACAGGCATTAGACACGCACCAAGCTGCTTCCTGCTGAGGGAGTATGGGGTGGGAAAGTGGGGATGTACATTCCTTCTCTCCTCAGCTTTGAGCGGTCACTCGGGGCTGGGCTCACTGTCCATCATCTAACATGGAAGGCATCCATCCACATGGGCCAAAGTGATCCAGAGGAGGATTCAGTGGTTCACAGGAACTTGTATAGCATAGCATAGGATATCTTAGAACTCACTGGGTAAACTGCTCTGGCTGCAGACTTGTAGCATTCTTCTGACTCCCCGATGGTTACATTTGCAGGTAGGTATAAACCACCAAACCAGGTAACTATGGGCCTCTAATATCAGGAGTGACTTACCTACCATCTTTAGCCCACCCTTCCATGCATCAGCAACAGGAAACCCCAAAGAGGCTCCTTGGAAGGTTGCACAGGGACATGCCAGTGCAGCTCTCCAGGAACAGGTGAAATTCCCATGCAGCAAGTCACCATGGGGATGGATGGGCAGCTGGCTTCTTTTGTGCTGTTATTTATTCTACAGGGGACGGTGTGCTTAGACAGGAACAGAGGCAGTTCAGGTGGCCAGCCTACTCCAGCAGTCTTAGAGGTGTATGTAGACCAGGTCTACACAGAACAAACAGTGTACACCTTCATCCTCTGATCTACTCAGATGCAGTGAGAGCCCCTATTTCAGGCCCACTGAGAATACAGCATGGGCCACTGTGTATGTCTTTGTTCGGTGGTCACCTCAGTCTGTACAGTTTTATCAACATCTTTGCTCAAGACCACGGTCATGCAACCCCTGACCCTCAGTTAACCCTCTCAGACATGTTTACATCTTTTATTTTTGTTTTATACTTTTATATGCCGTATGCTATATTTCGGTCAGTCATCCCTCATTTCCCTTGTTTCTCCCTCCCCTTAACTAGGCCCTGATCTACTTTCATGCCTCCTTCATATGTGGGCTCAATGATTTCTCTTTCCATCAGGGCTGTTCACAGGAGCACGGGTGAGGGGCTGTTCACAGGATCACGGGCACCTTATCAATGGCTACACCACTGAAGAAAACGATAACCACCAACTGAATATGAATCTTCAGGAAGGAGCAGGGCCTTGGGACCCCCTTTCTTGAGCTGTGGCAGAATGTTGACAGGCCCCACCTTATGCAGGTTTCACAGCTGCAAAGAGTGCAGTGGCCATGTTGTGCCTAGAAGACAGTTCCTCATCTCTCCATCCTTCCTCAGGCTCTGACGTTCTCCCTGCTCCATTCCCTGTGGTGTTCCATTAGCTTTGGCAGGAGAGACACAGGCATCTCACTTAGGGTTAAGCACTCCATGTTTCATTTCTCGGCATCTTGACTCACTATGGTGTACAGTAACCTCCACCCCCTGCAAGAGAGGCTTCTCTGACAGAAGCTGACAGCAGTCAAGTCTATGAGGATTAACATATTTAGAGGGCAGTTCTAGAATCACATCATGTCCATTTAGCAAAACAACAGCCGTAGTTTCCCAGCTAGAGCCTGTGACCTCCCCAGCCACAGGCTTTTGACCAGGTTTACAGTACTATCCTTGAATGCCTTCCTGGGGAGTGGGCATCAAATCCAACCCGAAAGCAGTTAGTTAGACCCATGGCAGACTTGCCAGTGTTGCCTTATGGGCTCATCTCGCCTGGCCAGGCTATATGTCACACATACAGTCCATTGCTGTTGACTACACTTGTCTCCAGCAGCCTGTGAAACACTTTCCAGCACCATGAAAGCTAGCAAGCAGGGAGGAAGCTTCAAGGCCAGTTCCAGCTTGATTTTTCTGTCATGTAACCCAGGTGTCTTCACCTGTAGGGTCTAACCATCTAGATGTAGTAGGTAACTAGGAGCAGTGATAATATCTTATAGGAGGCAGAAGCTCGGGAGACCTCCCTGTGTTTACACTTCCATTTTAAAAACAATCCGAATCCCTTCCCCCCACCCACTTAAAAATTTTAAATTCAGCTTTGTATATTGAGCTAACTGTGAACTTATAGACATGTGTAATATTTAACACAGAGAGATCAGGCTCCCCCAAAGGTAGCTTTGCACAACTAGAGTTCAGCCTTATCCATCCCCACCAAAATTCATGTTGCCTCCCCCTCCACTGATGGCAATGACGAATCTGGTCTCATAGTTATACAAGTGGGAGCACACAGCGGACAGCCTTTGGGAGATCTGTATTCTTCTCTCAGGGCCTTCCTTGGCAATGGCCTTTTTATGCTCACTCTTGGAAAGACCCTGAGCTAGTGACCTCAAGTCAAGAAACCCAGGTTTCTGAACCACACGTACACCTCCCTCGTTTAAAAGATGAGACCTACCGTGCACTGTGGGTTTAAGTGTAATTCACAGACAGACTCATGCAGGCACAGACAAAACTGGAGAGGGAGTTGGCTTCCAGTTCCAAACCCAGGGCATCATCTGTCATGAGATCAACTATGTAAATGTGTAAACGTGTATCACTTCTCAGTTTCAAGATTTTTTTTTTTTTGCTGTTTCTTCTTTCTGTTTTGTTTTGTTTTTTAAGACAGGTAACAGCTCTGGTTGTCCTGGAGTTTGCTCTTGTAGACCAGACTGTCCTCAGACTCACAGAGATCTGCCTGCCTCTACCTCCTGAGTGCTGGGATTAAAGGAATGCGCCACCACTGCCCTACATGATATCTTTTTTCCAGTCATCTCCAAAAAGACTCTTTGTCACCCATCCTTTCTGGCCAATGGGAAAGATGGCATCTACTCGTGGGGTCCTCTACTCCTGCTCCAGGCCAGCTCAGCACAAGGGTGACACAACCCTTTCAGGCTTCAGTGTGCCCTGTTTGTTTATGTATATTTGAGTCTGAGACCTATCATGTTTCTGGCTTTTCTCTGATAGATTCCTAGTTTGCCCACAGCTGGACATCCCATCTCTTCTCAAATGCTCGTCTTCATTCTCCAGGTAGACTCTGCCTACGGGAACTCAAACAGCTGGCTTCTCTGACCCTAACCCCTTTCCACCAGCACGTCTATACCCATCTGCCCTCTCATGTTCTTCCCTACATAAAAGCCAGCTCCCTTGGTCCCTCAGCTTTTACTTGCCCTTGGGATGTAAAGTGGTATAGGGGAGCTGTGTGCTAGAGAAGGCAAGAACAGGAAGAGGGTGGCACCTCGCTGGCCAGAATCTTAGAAGCTTATACATTGTTTGTCATGATGTATATAGACTGGTTTGTCTGAGTTCATGGCTTCTCTAGAGAGTCCTGTCTCTGACTCCACCCGTCACCTCATGGTCTAACCTGTCCAGCCGAACAATATGGCGTCCTGCACGGTTAGCCATTTGCACGCCAATGTCTTCTCATCAGCATCTCAGGAATTTGATGAAATGCCCTAGGAAAATAAAATATGTGACTAGAGGCTGTACTTGGGAGTGGCAGAAGAATTCTGGGGGGAGGCTGAAGAAGTGGGTTCCTCACAAGTCAAATAAATGGACCAAATGAAATTAAGTGCTCACTTTAACATGGGTGCCCCTATGCTATCTGAGCTTCATGTCAGTCGTTGTATGTGCGTGTGTATGATAGTAGTGTAAAGACTTGAATTTGCAGGCATGAGTGCATGTTCATGTAGAGGCCTTTGTCTATCACTCTCTGCCTCATTTTTTGGACACAAGATCTCAATAATTCATTGAGACTTGCTGTTAAGAACAACAGGGCTCCTCCTGTCTCTGCCTTGCCCTAGAACTGAGATTCTAGGTGCGTGCTGCCACACCATCTTTGCTTTTAATGTGGGTACCGAGAATCTGAACTCAGATCTTGATGCTTGTGTGGCAAGTGTGTTACTGAAACGTCCCTTTACATTGCCTCCCACCACTTAGTCATTTACTTGATAATACTCCAAAGATCAAGTACCCAGACTCCTCTCAGATAATTCTTGGATACTACAACCAAAGCTTGACACGCCATGGAGGAAAACCAAAGTGCAGAAATGTGTTCCTGTCCCCAAGACCAGCTCCTGGACGCGATGTAGCAGATCCACAGCAGAAACTGTGTGCTCAGGTTTTGAAAAGCTGTAAGAGAAATACCAAGACAGCTGTGAAGCAGCCATTGGCAAAGCCCAGGAGCACACCCATGGAACATGGGTGTAAAACTTCCCACAGACAGACGGGCTATTTAAAGTCCAGCTCTCAGGACCACAGGAAGACCGCAAAGATGGAGCCATGTGCATTTTCTGACATCTTAGATTCACAACTGGTATATTCTTTGTTTCCAGGCAGTAAAGGCTGAAGTATTTGGAATCTGTAATGTTACCTGTAGATTTCATTGAATGTACTTGTCATTTTACATGAAACAGAAAAAAGGGGAAAACATTGAATATCCAGCCTTCAGGGCTCAGCTACTCAGAGCTCATCGACAGTCACCTGAGAGAGCAGAACTTTTTAAGGCTGTATTGTTACTTTTATTTTCCAAAGAGCAGAACACCCCTACACAAGCTCATTTGAGGTTACAGCTGGAGAGTTGTCACTCAAGTATAAACATGAATGTTATTTTTAATTTTTAGATTTACATTTATGTGTATGTGTGTGCCCATGCAAGCATGCACCCTTTAGAGGCCATAGAGATCAATGGTTGACCTGGAGCTGTAATTGACAAGCATCTGTTTTAGCTGAGCAATGCCAGGGCTGGGAACCGAGCACTGATCCTGTGGCAGGCAGGGTGTCCTAACCACAAAGCCATCTCCCCAGCCCCATGTATTGATTTTTAAATGAATTTCTATTAATTTCTATAAAATTAGACCCAGAATAGACCTTCAGACACATACTCTTATATTAACATTGAAGAAATGTAACTCCGATAATCTGCTTTGTATAAGAATTTGTAGGAAAAAAATTTATCTTTTAATGTCGTACCATCTGTTTCCAAGAACAGTTTCTTCTAGTTTTCTACATGTACAAGTCATCTTTATTTCCTATTCCTGTGGTGTGACCCAGCAAGGAGACATTGGTTGGTGTTTCCTCATTCGTTTTAGAAACAACAGCAAAAGCATAAGCCTCATAAACGTTTGCCGGCATGCCTCGATTTCTAGCAGTGCTGTGGTTAGAAAAGACTCGCTGGTTCTTCTGGCCCCGTCATAACTATCACAGACTTCCCCACAGGAATCTTCATGGCGTATGCAGGAATGCAGAAACGAAAGCTTCAGACATTAATCTTAGGTGGGAGTTGTCTAGAGAAAATGAAGTTTCTCCTTGGCCAGGTATAAAGCTAACCTCTGCTCAAGATGGCTGCCTTCCTTGCTTGTATAGGAATTCCCTGCAGGATGTGAAGAGCCCACATAATCCAAGCTATGGAGTAGCTTGCGGCATCCAGAGAGCAGGGCTGATTCAGCCCACCCGGAAAGCACCTGGTGCCGTTCATCACTGCTCGTCATACCCAGCTCTGTCCAGCGTAATTAATATTAAGCAACTGCTATGTACTTACCTAATTTGCAGAATTGATCAGACGTCTCAAAAGCTTCATTTCCCCAACAAAAGAAAATGGAGTGCTCTGTGCAAAGGTTAAGTGCACGGTTTAATTGCCGATTGTGCCTTAGGAGCCTATTGTGAACCGATCACAGTTTGAGGGGATGCACGGTCAGGGGAATGCGTTTTCAGTTTTAACCATTAAGAAGTCAAATCCTGGAGCTGAAGTGAAGAAATGGGGCAGTCTCTGGATTTCTGTCTCACCAGCATGCCATTGTCTCCCTCCTACACACTACCTCTAGCTCAGAATTTAGAATGTATTAAAAATGCAGAGTTTAAAGATTCCTTCCTTACCTAAATAATTCATCTGAACCCGGCAGACTGTAAAATATCAGAGAGACCAATCACGCATAGCATCAGGGTATTTGGGGTATTTACTGCTCAAGACAGAGGACACGGCAACCTAACAGAGTCTAATAAAATTAATTTGGGTCAAGGAAGAGCATTTTTACAGCAATCATTTCTGACAAAGGCATTTAAGGAAGTACCTGGCAGGAAGTGAAGACTGTCAGATTTCCTGGGATGGCTGGAAAGTAATTGAAACACACTACAGTTTGTTCCAGGCAGGACTCAGGGGTGGGGGGTGGGGCGTCTTGGAGGTCCTGAGGCAAGAGATGTATGCTGTTCCCCCTGAGAGAATGGTTAGGCTTCAGAGGCAGGCATTCTCCTTCATGCAAAAGTTGCCCCGTTCGTGAGAGGTGTTTGACAAGTCAGAGCACCCACTGGGTCCTCTGTTTCTGTCTTAATTTTCTTTCCACTTAGCTGTGACAAAACATGTGACAAAAATTGTTCAGGTGAGGGAGGGTTTACTTGGTTACAGCTCATCGTTATGGGGAAATTGAAGCAGCCTGTCACATCCACAAACAAGGACAGGGAGCGAATACATCCATGCTTACTCAGGCCTCAGCTCACTTCCTCTGCTTTGTACACTGTGCGGCCCCATCCCAGGGAATGGTGGCACCTGCAGTGGATAGGCCTTTCCACCCCAATGAATGCAGTCAAGGTAACCCAGGGAATGGCGGCACCTGCAGTGGATAGGCCTTTCCACCCCAATGAATGCAGTCAAGGTAACCCCCACAGATTTGCACGCAGGCCCAACTGATCTAGACAATCTGTCATTAAGACTTCCTTCTTAGGTAACTTCAGTTTGCATGAATCTGACAGAAATTGCTGTCAACACCCCCTAGGCCACAGCCTCTCCTTCTTGCTTCATCTTGTTGCTGTTTTACAAAAGGTTGTCCAAGATGTCCATGCTGAGGCCATTTTGATTTGGAAACCTCCATCTTGTGCCTATGTCTCCCTGTGACTTTCTTTATATTCTCTTATCCTCTGAGTTTCACAGGTGAATAGAGATTTCTGGAAGAAGATTAAATACCTTCAGGGACATGTACCTCCGTGGAGAGCATCATATCTGCATGCTCCGGGTCCTTGGTTTTGTCCCCAGCACTGAAAATGTTGAAATTCCCAGACATTTGGGAGCAAGCTGAAGTTGGGGGAGAAAGGCCGTCTTCAGAGTGGACAGGGAAGGACACAGTGAGCTAAGAGGTGCTATCTTTCCACGCATCATAAAGCAATCTCTTAGTCATGGAGAAGCCTCATCACAAACCACCATGGATTGCAATCATCTTCCTCTCCATTGAGTTCAGAGAGGTCCTTGAGCTTCCTGACTGCTCCAGCACATGGCTTGGTCAGGATTCTAAGAGTGGAGCAGACATCATTGCCACAATAATGACTGCCTTTGTGTCTAGAATAGAAATCTTAGGATGGTATTACTCAAGCTTACATTGCCAGAGGAAGAATGAGACAGTCAAATGGCATTGACACCTAGTCAGCAAGAGAGAACACTAGCAGATGTCCATCAGATCCCAGTGGGCACTTCACTAAAGCAACAGGACTTCTGGGAGGGGAGTTCTAAATATGGGCTATAGGGTGCTGTCTGGAACAGTCCTCCTGGTTCAGACTTTGATCTCTCTGCCTTGGTTGAAAATACACACACACACACACACACACACACACACACACACACACACATACACTGGATGGGGGAGCACTAACTGATGATGTTTCTGGTGATCATCCCAACTCCAACTGATTAGCCAAATGATAGAGAGAAGCAGAGATTGGTTGGAAGAAATGGATTGATGGGAAATGGGTCCTGTAAAAGATCGGTCCTTGAGATTGTCCATTTGCCCCTGCCAGGGAAGAACATGTGTGGACCCTTTAAACTTATTGTCCTCCCAGGCTTTCAGAAACCCACTCTGACACCTGAGACATAACCCCATAGATATCACCGTAGATACTGTGTTCCAAAGAGCATCAAAGATCTCCCCAAGCAAACCCATTCCTTCACCAGCCCGCCATGGTTCCTAGCATTCTCTCATGGGATGATAGGCTAAAGCAGAGCCTAGAAGCTGAAAAAGTGGGTATGGATCTTATTTTTTCCTACCCAGGTAGTTCACACAAGACAGTACAAAATGGTGATAACCTGCCTCACACTCCTGCTGAAGGGTTTCATGCCCAAGCACACATCCAGCATGGAAACCAGGGTGCGGAGTGTTGGACCCTGCAGCATAGTAGGACAATTTCATTATCTAAACCCCAGTTACTGTCTGGCAAGTGGAAGACAGCAAAACCCAGATCATGAGGAAGTTAGGAAAGTCACCTCCAGTTTCTGCCCTATCCCAAGGAATTGAGCAGAAGTGTTTGGGGAGGGGAAGGAAGAAAGAGCCTAGATTTGATGGGTGTGAGTGGCTTTGAAGCCACAAATGCAGAAATCCATTCTAAATTGATCAAATTGTCTACAATTAGATCAGAGACCATTGACAATGGCCACTGTGCAAATTGTGTGACTGCAATCATCACGATCAGAGGTTCTACACACCCCTGCATTAATATCATCAAGTTTGAGCCTAGAAAAATCTTTCATGAAATGTATGTTCTGGCCCATAGTGGTCTCACAGCTATTGCCCATACCTGGCACGATATATGTTCAACCAAGTCCTCTCAGTTGCCACATGTCTGTACACTATGGAGATATGGCAATATGGTTGTCCTAAGATGTTCCTTTTGACACCTCTTGTTTGATGTAGGTTGTCTTGGGGAATTAGGATCTCAGAGATATCCTGCTCATCCTGTTTCTTGGAACACAGTCTATCCAGCAGATACTGGAATGGGTGTGGCAGCATGCAGCCTAGTGGCCAGTCTACGATGCTTGAGAGAGGAGCTGTGACAACAGACAGATCCTATTTCCGCTCTTCACAATCTAACCATTGGCGTGTGCTTTTGCTGACTTCTCCAGTGCTTGGGCTCTTTTAGACTCTGAGGGAGGTTTTTTTCAGAACCCAAATGCATTCTATTTCCACCTTCTAAGCTAAAGGAAGGATTGGGCTGCGGCACCCACAAGTCAGTATCCATGACTGTCTCTGGTCCCCGTGGCACTCCAGATTTCCCACAAGATTCCTCTCAAGGTCTACACTGGGAGATGAGGCCAACCTACCCTGAGACCATTTCTGCCAATGCAAACCTTGTCCTTATTTTCAAACTACATGAAAATCCTCTCTGAGTTTCTTGGTAAGCTTGGCACATCTCACCCAGATACAAGGGGTGTCCAGGACAGGTGTAGACACAAAACATACAGGCTAGGAAACTTGCCTGTGTCACAATTGCCCTGTAAATTGTGGACATCGAGTATTAAATCACCCATCCTTGAGCAACCACCTTTTCTCTGTGGAGCGAACTTCAATTGAAGAGAGCTGTAATGAGCCTTATCATATTCTTATGGCCGCATGCTCTAGAAGACACCAATTTTCCAATTTTTGGGCCATTTCCTTGGCATTTTCATTTCTCATATTTTTTCTACTTCTTATACCTCTGTTTAAATGTCAGATACGTTGCCTATATCACTGCAGCAGTCCCTGGGAAAATAAAGATATCTGGCCTCTAGGAGCTCTGAGGGGAACAAAGAGAAACAAATGAGACCAGTATGTACAAAACAGGGCTCCATTTGCATGAAATGTCTGCTATGAGAATGCTAACATGCCCAGTTCTGCCTCCATTGTCAAAACACTACCAGCAAGAGCAGGCGACTCAGGAGCCATTCATCCCAAACCCAGAGGTGATGACACAGGACGAAGGCCCGGACAGCAAAGAGCATGGAATTAACAGAGCAGTATATCTGGGATGATAATTGGAAAAAAAATGTGTTTTCTGAACATCTATTCCATGATCAGAATGGGAACAAATATTCTATTTACTGACTTACTCTATGGAAAAGGTTAACTGCTATATAGTCGTACATAGGTAAGAAAAATCCTTGTCTTGAAAATCTTGTCCAGCTGGAAGAGGACTTGTGATAGTTGCCATCATGCAGTGTGGCCTGTGCCGTGGCACAGACCAGTGCAGGAATGGGGGTGGTGGAGGATGATGAGCCAGGAGCACGGTGCACCTTGAGCAAAGGGCTTCCCTGAACTAGTGTCCAAAGTCCAGCTCAGCCTGTGGGACTCACAGGGAGACTCAAGAAGTCGCTCTACAAAGATCACATTAAAAAAGCATATGTGAGCAACCAGGCCAAGGCCTGTCCAGGGAGTCTGATCAGAGATCAAGACAGGTCCCAGTGGTGACAAATATGACATGGATTCCCAGACTCTTTTTAGCTCTATTTCTATTTGTGAGTCTAGACAGTAGAGGGGCAGGTTTCCAGCCCTCCCGCCAAGAAACAGCTGACAAGAGCTGAAGTTAGACACTGTCCATTTCCACAGCTGATATACCATACAGTGCTTGCAGTTGTTTTTGTTTGTTCTTGTATTTGTTTGTTTTGTTTTGTTTTTCTCTTTTGACTCTTTGGGGCCCACCACCCATCTCCCAAATAAATCACACAGAGGCTTATTCTTGCTTATAAATGGTATTGAGGAACCAGGTTTCCCTTGGGAAGCTCAGCAGCGTGTGACTGACAATAAAGGTGAATGACACAGGACAGACTGGTGGTGAAGACCTTCTACTAGTCATCAAGGTCGGGAGATGACTTGGCCTTAATAACAGCAAGAGACACCAATCTTCCACACTTAATACATAACCTTGATAATCAAGGAATGTCCTATGAACCATGTCCCAGCATCCCTTGAAAGTCTTTGTAGGCACGGGTCCCCCCTCCCACCAGGCAGGATGAGTTTGAAGAGACTCAGAGGAGATCCCCAGACCTCC